ACGCACAGGGGTACAGTAAAGAGGAAGGGGACGCGTCGCGTCTTGCATGTGTTTCGACTAATTAACATACGTGAAAATCCTCTTAATTGGGTGATTAAACGCCTGCGGAGACACTCTAATGGGGAACGGACCACCCTCGCCTCCCCCTTTTTTTCTGCTCTTTCTCTCGCAACCTCCATTCTCGACTCTGAACAACGGTTCCTCTCCGATCACTGATTCGCTTGTTATTCTTATCGTTCCGTTATTTTGAACGTTGATTATGTTAACGTTTACAAGGGGTTGAAGAAGGGAGAAAGATTAATTGTAGATATTCGTGTGTTAATACATTAAGGGAGGGTGATAAATTTCATAAAATTGTAGGATTCAGATGGGAAAAATAACAATGGGAAAGATAATAAGCGAATTCTTGGAATTTTCTTTCATAGCCATAATGTTAAGAAACAAAATTCGATAGTATCAATTGATTGGAAAAGGTTACCAATCAAATATAACGTTAACCTAACTTAACTCTTACTGAATTAATGTCATTTTTTATGCTGATCGCGAACGGACTTTCTCGAGAAGACTAACGTTTTCTTAAAAGTTTGGTCCCCCTGATTACATATATTTTATTGTTCATGAAGTTAATAACTATGATCTAAGCAAGGCGAAAATAATTAGTGTTTGCGATCACGGCCGCGAGTATACACGAGTTTCTGCGGAAATTTCGTGAAATATACGGGCAAGACCGATCATTCTCGCCGGGCATCCGTTTTTCTAATTAAATGGCCGCGTCGGTAAATAAAGTTGAAGCGGAATTTACGTCAGCTAGATAGCCGACCGCTTGCAATTACTTGCGCAAAGTTACCGCGAGTAGGATTGGTTCGATACTAGACTCTATCCGTGCTCGTGCACGTTTCCCTTCTCTTTTATTTCACCGTGTGAATGGTTTTTCTTCTCCTTTTTTTTTCTGTTACGCTTCTTTTTTTGTCAGAGGAGATTAAGTAATCGAGCGGACGATCGCGTATCTTACGGCGAGGCTTCGATTCTCGAGCAGCGAAATCTCCAACGGACACGAGCGTGTTTAGCGCTGTTATAACGAAGTATTTGCGTAGCTCGGTTTACTTGGCTCGCGAGGCGGCGTAATTAGAGAAGTTGAAGAGACTTTTGATGGGACTTTGGCTATCCAAAGTATTTACAAAACGAAGACAAATGGAAATTATGATTTCTTGTTCGTGAAACGTCGCACGGAACGCCGTAGGAACAGAGAATACGAGAAAACGGAGAGGAAGAGTAAGCTCGTCTTTTCTGGTGATTTTATCCCGAAATAAAATATTTACGACGTCTTCGTTAATTTCCACTTTCCGAAACTTTCCGTCAGTTTTTATAGGAAACATTTAATTAAACCGGTGTTGTTTACCAGTTTACTTTACAACCGGTAACCAGTGTTACAACGCCCGTATGTGTTCCTTTGTTAATTGCTTTCCTCCATTTTAATTTTCTTACTTCTGTGTTAATTACCGTACCGCGTCCTTCGACTGTCGTACTATTTTTTTTTTTCAATCGTTTTGTGTCGCTCGATTTTCGATTCTACCATTCCGGAACGTAATTAATCTAAATTCATATACTTTTGGAGTGCTTATTTATAGAGATAATGAAAAATAAACGGAGAAAAATTTCGTCTCTTTGTTTAAGATATGAAATATTTATATTCACGATCATATTATATTAATGTATATTTGTATTTTATAATCTTCTAAAGCGTAGTATCTTCTGAGATAATTGCCTGAATTACTAGGAAAATTAATTACAAAGCAAAATTTATTCATTGTAGATTCTAATTAAAAAATTCTTAATAAAATGAAATGTTTCATGAACGTTGTTAGATCCACACTGTACGGTATATATTGTAATGCTTTCTCCAAAATTTATCGATAAAATCAAAATAACCAACAATTCTTTAAATCTTTATCATCGTATCATTTCCTTGTATAATATTTGTGTATATGCATTTATCAATTCTGTAAGAATATCTTTGAAGAGAAAGGGAATGCTTTTAAACATGAAATTCGTTTTCAATAATTCCGAAAATTAGACACGTTTGTAATAGTCATATTATGATAAGAAATTAATCTAAATTCATATATTCTTCAAATATATTGAATAACTTGTTAATGAAAGTTATGTGAGAAATAAACAGAGACTTTCGTCTCATTATTCAATTCAAACGTAACTCTCTTCATTTAGGATATACGAACATATACGTAACTGAAAGTTAAACAAAATCGATATCGATCGTAAGATATCTCAATTCGAGAATCGAAGGATCTCAATTCCGTTTATCGACTGAGCGTGGCGCTTCGATCGCGCGTCTAACGACTAGTTCCCGCGTAATTTTTTCTAGGATAGTCGTCCCGTCGTGATGTCAGATAATATCGTAAATAATTCATTTAGTATGTTTACTTCGATGTTGAATCGGTTGTAAATCTGCGAAAGTTCGATCAGGTGCTCGGGTTTGTATTGGTGCGGTGAATAGAACGTTGTGTTTATTTACTTTATGATCGTATCATCGTCGTCATTGCGTAGTGCGAAATGTGATTCAGTTTACCGTATGTCGTCGTATCGTTGAATCGTTACATCGTCGCGTTCTGTGAAACATATCGAGGTCTCTTTGATCATTTCGCGTAAAATGGAACAAAAGTTCCCTTAATTCTCGTGTTCGTTTCGTGTCCTTATCGAGTGTTTTTCGTCTTTATCGTAAAATCTATTAGTTCAGCATGTCGTTCTTCCATAGAATTGTGTGGATATTTTGAAGCGTCGAAAGGAGTTCATTCATTAAATTTCATTACATTGAGGTAAAGATATAACATTAATTAAGGCACTGAGAGTAAAGATGGATTAATGTAATTACATTTAACAATATTTAACAAACTGAATTCTCCATTTGAAATAAATCTGAGCACAAGATATTCATTGTAACAATTAATTTCGTTACTTTCTTTGGATTGATTTTGAAAAAGTTCCAATTGTGTATAATACTGGTTGTATCTATATATGTTCTTTCCAACGACATTTCCAGAACGTAACAAAACACATATGAAATAAATCTAAATTTTCGTATAATTAATACAGTTTATTAGTATAATTTGATGTTCTGAATTTGTATTTCAGAAAAAATCTAACATTCTATTTTTGCTCTCAATTAACATCAAAATGCCTAAGGAGTAAATTAAATGTACGAAGCGCGTTTTAATACTATACCTACTGGCGCCATAATTACTTTCTGTGTACCGAACATGTAAAGTCGTTCAGCCATATTGAACTCTGGCTGTTTCGAAACTAGGTTGAGCAGTTACAAGTACGAATTCGTTAGTCGAGTCCTTTTCTTCGAAACTGTAAACGATGAAAAACATTTTGCGTATGTTCCATAAAAATTATCAGTCAATGTTTCAATCAGTCAATGATCAGTCACATCGATCATTTCTTATAACCAATAACCATTTCGAATACTAATTTATCGACAACTTAAATGGCTTAGTCGTCAAAAAACGAAGAGAGGCTTGCGCTGGCCGCCTAGTAATCCTATCGATTAATTTATGTTTATATTTATGTTCACATTGCATACTCGTGTTATTTTATATAAAACAAATTCTTACAAATGGTTAACATCTAATTATGTACCTAATTATCTTACATATACATACATAATTGTCTTACATATAGAACGCAGCAGGATTAAAAAATGTATCAACAGTATCGAAACATTTTGTATATTACAAAATATACAGTACAATATATAACATACACTATCATTCGATAAGTATTAGGATACAAATTAAACGATTTCCACTTCTTCTACTTAAAATAAAAAAAAAGGAGAAATTAAATAAAGTTTGACTGACGATTTATTTAATCAAATAAAATAACATTTGATAGAACTTTTCAATAGATACAACGAATACGAGTCCTAGTATGTACATACGTACGGTCAGCAGCGTAACCAGAAACGTAACAAGATAAACAAAATAAGTAGAAGGAAGAACTTTGATCATTTCACTCTATTCTTGCAATCGTTTACGAGTTTTGACAAAGTCAGTCAGCGTGTTGAGTGAGTTTCGTTGTTGAAAGTTCTGGCAAGCAGAGTCGGGCTTAGAGTTCGGCTGGTAATTGAAACCTGCTTCTTTCTCTAGAAGCGAACTCGTTCACTCCGTCTCGTTGTTCGAATTCCGCGAGTCCACGCGCGTCTTTGAGGCTCCTCTAATTTAAACTAGCCGACGGGTGGCTCACGTGTCGTCCCCAAGTATTTTCTGCAATTAAATTGACATCTCGTATATCAGGGAAAAGTATGATGATTCGCAGAGTGGAGTGCATACACTCACGTCCCCTCTGATCTAAATTAGTCCCGCGAAATTCGTGGAATTTTGGCACGCCGGCCATCCGGAAGGCATTCCGAACATTCGTCAATCTTTTGTCGTTTACGTTTATGTTACATTGTAGTTATAGAGAATATGTTCTATTCACTTGAAAATTGTACGATGAAACGTATAGATATACATACGTAGTTGTTAATTGAGGGAGATTTGTTAGAGAAATATTCGTGGAAGTAAAATGTATATATTTTATGTTTGGATTGTCATATTCAATAAATTTACACTTTTTAGATTGTAACACAATATCTTAGTTCTAGAGATATACAGAATTGATCGATTCAATCGAGGTTACTCATTTTTGAAGGAATGCGAATTTAATATTAAATTTAGTATTAAATTTAAATTTAATAGTACGCATATAGGTTTATTAGAGGAAGAATTTAATAGAAATCGGCAAACGATCGTAGGAATGAAAGAAAATACGCTGTTGATTAATTATTAGATACATTATCTATGAGACAATCTAATAATTAGAAAGTATTAATTTAGATACAAGTTGAACATTTGTCGGAAAATAGTTTGATTTCTTAACGGTTTATGCAAATTTGCATATATTATATTTTATTAAATTAGTAAAATGTATTGTTTCAGAATTATTTGTCGGTGAAATGGAACTCGAGTCTCCGCAGCTTTATTAAAACTTTCACCATCGGGTTTGAGAGACCAGTTGATAAGGTTTGTGATACTGATTACGATTTTTAATTACATTTCGTATGTAACCCCGGTAAATACAGTCTGTATATTGCTCACGTACATCGGAAACGTTTAACGAAATATTTTTGTACATATGTATCCCCTGTTACACGTATCGTTGATATTTTAATTACACTGCAGAACCGAAAAACCGAGGGGGGAAAAAAAGAAAGCACAACGAAACGCGTGTTCACGGCATGGAATAATTCACTCAAATTCGTAATTACAAACGCGTCAGAAGGAAACGTTCAATTAAACTGTCGGGTTTCGTTCGAACGAAATCAAAGCTTGTTCTTTTTTTTACACTGCCCCCCCCCTCCCCCCGCCCTTCTATCCCGACAAATCCTGGGCCACGATGCGGGAGCATAATTGGTAATACGATATGTTTGTTGTTTCGTTAACACTGCCAACAGTATAATTATGAATAAAGAGTTTTTCAGTCGCCGTGCCTTTCAATGGTCTCGATATCAGTCTCGTCTAATTAATTCATAATTAATATCCTTCCTCTGCGACGTACCGCGATGATATCCTATCGATTTAACGCATCAAACCACGGTCCTCTTATATATTTTAATTTTCCAGACTTTCAAACCACTCCCGATCCTTGTAGATCGTTTTTGCGGTAGTCATTCTGTCTTGTAATTAAACTACGTTACATAGCTTTTACGTGGGATATTTGGACGATGACGAACCGCGCAGCTAAATCTCATTAAAAAGTAACACCCTCGTCCATAAATCACGAAATATAATAGATCTGCAATAAAATCTTCGAAAACATGGGATAATTTAGATTTCTTTGTAATACACGCGGTTAATCAGCGTTAACTTGATTTTGTAATTACAGCACTCATTTATACTAATCCTGAGTACATTAAGTATCCTCTCACTTTCTGTTACATTAGTAGAATTACCATGCAAATATTTTTGTATTTATACATTTCCTTTGCATCTACCTTTTTTCGTATACTAAATTAATCATATAAAGTATCATCTATGACAAATGAGTTGTTCGAAAGAGCTATAGAAAATTATTTATCAAAAGAGATAAGATACATCACATGTTCGAAGTAAGGATAAGAGCTCGTCTAGAACTTCGCCTAGTTCGTCGAAACGACGACGACGACAACGACGACGAGAGAAACCTATATCCATCTCTTTTTATCATTTCGCGATCATCGTTATCATTATCGGCAACCGTTGTATCGGTCTTTCGAGGTCGGTCCGCTTTTCTGGCCAGGATGCTCAGACCACTCGTGCGCCCGTATATTTGACCACTTGTTAAATCGGCCTTCGTCCCTTGTCGGAGAATCGTATCGCGTTCGTGGCCCGAGGTCCTGCGGTAATAACTGGACGCCATTATAAAATCTCCTGAGGGAAACCAGCTAAGGGTACCTTTCCCTTTCCCTTCGTTCCTTTCCTCTTTTCTTCCTTCTCTCTCTCTCTCTCTCTCTCTCTCTCTCTCTCTCTCTCTCTCTCTCTCTCTCTCTCTCTCTCTCTCTCTCTCTCTCTCTCTCTCTCTCTCTCTCTCTCTCTCTCTCTCTCTCTCTCTCTCTCTCTTTTCTCTTTTACCCAAGCTCAAGCCTTTCTTTCCCTCTTATTCTTTCTCTTCGTTCGGACTCTTCCTTCCCTCCCCCTTTGTCCCCCATGATTTCTTTCTCTCTGGCTCTCTAGCTGCCGACTCTCGGTCCCGTTCGTCCATCCCGGTCGTTACTGCCAGGATACGGATTTTCTCCGTTGACCGACGATATTTCTTTGCCGCGATTCGACTCTCGTTTTGCTCGCCGTACGTATTCCTATGGCCGCCTTGTTCGACCTTACGATATTCTTGGATTCCGTACGTCCCTGTTTCCTTCGTGGTTTCTTTTTTTTTTTCCTTATCCGGTTCCTCGTCATGCTTCCTCGTCCAGACTACTACGGTTCAACCTCTCGTCTCCTGTCCAACATCCTCGACGTCGTGGTCGTGGTCGTGGTCGTTGTTGTCGTTGGCCGAGACCTCGTTCATCCTCCGCAACCCTTTCTCGAAAAACGGCCGGATGGGAGCAGGATTTTGTGTGACGAAAAAAGGAGAAACTCTAGCGAACGATTCGACAGAGAAACGCGGCAGGAAACGAGGGAGGAGAAGGCAGTCGTACAGAGGGTGGCTGTTGAACAGCGAAGGTAAACGCGAAGGAGAAACGAGGAGAGGCAGCGAAGGGAAATAGAGAGGGACAAGCCGGAACAGGGATGCGATTCCGCCCAATTTATAGCGGACCGGATTAAGCCGTAATCCCCTTTGGTACACGCTGCGCGTGCGGTGTCGCGTAATAATGATTCGAGTGAAAATATAACAAATATACCGAGTTGGTGCCGAAAATGTCTAAATTAGAGTGGAGTCGGCTGATCCGCGGCCGAGTCGATCAGCGCGGCTTTCAGCCGAAATCGAACGGATTTTCCCTCGCGTTCGATGATCAGGCGGGGGTAGGGCAGTATCTGGTCACTCGCGTAATTGTATTCTACACCGATTTACACACCCCGGGATCTTCGGCCGGATTGTTTTAATAAGGGCCGAACGAAATTCCGGATACGATTATTTTGTTGCTCGTCCGCGTGGATTCGGAGATCTAGAAAATGGAACGTGCTCCGTGTTTTTGGAGATTTCCCTCGGAAATAGCGTTATAGTTGGTTACTATATTCGGGGGTAGGTAGATGCGATATTAGAATAGATTATGTTTGTAACGTTTTTCATTGCTGGCATATCTTCGATTTGAAGGATTTGAGTTTGGTTGAATTTTTATTAAATAATAAAATGCTAAATACGAATTTCAATATTGCGTATAGTTAGGTTTTCACTAATACGGGAGACTAAAAAGAATTATAGGCTAGGATTGATTATTTTTGCAAGAAATGTTTTGGTTTTCAATAAGGCAATGTTGAACGTTGTATGCAAATAAAATAAAACTGGGAAAAGAAATTATTATCTAAAAGTATGAAAAAAGGGGTTGTAACGCTAGGTAGAAAAAATCATCCAACAGAATATTGCATGTATTATAAAATAATATTTATTGATCGCTAACAATAATAATTTTTTTTGTAATTTCGCGACGAACTTTCAGGACAACTCAATATTTATTAGATTTGCTAGACTACCAATGGGTACTGCATTTATACTATTTATAAAATATTTTGGAAATTAAAATATATTCTTTTATTGAAAATATTTTCTATACGATGCCTTTAAAATATTTAATATAGCGAAATTTCCAAAATATACATCAGAAACTATAACGTATAATAGTTGAGCTAAGTACCTCCATTGGCTATTAAATTTTCATACGCTCTCTAAGCACTTGGTAATTATTTGTCATACACGATGGCCCCGAAACAACACACACACATTTATCGTACACTCGAACATGCAAGCTCTTGGGTGCATGCTCGACGTACGAACGTCATTAACTTTGTTTCCGCTTGATTTTGTCAAAGAAGGGGGCTTAATAACTTCGTTAGATACGGAAGAAACATTGGAAAAACGAACGGAAAACCGAGGCGAATAGAAAATTGGCGAATGCAAATTCCGTGCGCGGATTAAGCGGCCAGATTCGTTGCCTCGTATTTCTCGTGCTCGTTAAATCCTGATGTACTTGTCATTGACGCGTTCTTATTATCACCGTTCATTACACGATAATCATGTTTATAATTCGTATTTATAAATCGTATTTAAGTATCGTATTTATAATCGTGGTCGTTATACGAGTATCAGGCCATTACATTGTCGTTAGCACGGCTGACTCGTCCAAGCCGGTAAAATCATTCTTTCGAACGATACACACGTACATACATACAGAGAGCTGTGCATATGCAAGAATGACGCGTACAAACGCATTGCCTCGATTTCTGCCGGCATAAAGAAGTTAATTATCGCGACGTTTAATTATGTATTTATTTTTAGAACCCTTTGTCGAGCCACGAGTCCTTTACCGAGAAAAGAGTTACGCCGATTCTCGGTAACCCTTCCCCCTTCGTCCATTGCTAGCTGACTGCTAATGAATTTTCACCTTTTTTCGCCTTATTTGCTCATTAGTGCCTTACCCTCGCCTCGTCTCACCCTCTCCCACCCTTTTCCTCCCAGCCGTCCGCTATTTCTCCACGCTATGCGTCGTCCACCATTTCTGCCTTCTTCCATCTTCCGTCTTCCTCCCCCGCCTTGGTTAATCCACCGTAGAAGGAACTCTTTTCTGCGTTCGTGTAAGAGAATGGAATCCGTATACACGTACGCACCGGGATCCTTTAGAAGGCTCCGCTTGAAAACTCGATGTTTGGCGGGTCGTCGGTGAAATACTTGTTTGCAGGACGGCAGAGTACTAATTAAAGTTTAAATAATTCGTTTGTTGATCGTTAAATTATTAGCCGGATCGTAGGAATGTAAATTGTTCGGTTGATTAGCTGCTATTCTATGATAGACGGTCAAAAAGTCGCTAATAATTAGAACGTGGACATTCAGGCATTTGTGGGAAATTTAACGACACAAAAATGTACACAATGGAAATATTGTAATGTGCAACGTTACATGTACAAAGTATCCGGCGCAACGGGTTTATTATAATATTCAGCAATATGGAATATACATCTGTATTTAGTTTGTATTTCTTTATATTCGGGAAACACGAAATTGCATAAGTAAATCTGGTAACATAGATTTTTGAAATTACGCTATAAAGTAAAATCGCGATTTGTCGAAGGGATCTATCGATTATATCGCGTGAATGGCGGAAGTGGTGTTCGATCGTGGACGACCGTGCAGCATCCGTAAGGAAGCGATTCGAGTCGTTTAAAAGCGCGAGCAAAAAATTAATTGAACCGCCGGGAAAAAGGTCGCCGCGAAAACGTTCAATCTCTAGTGGCCTTACACGCCGGCCACTCATTACGCTTCTTCATTACGCTTTTTCTCGCAATAATATCAATCGTCCCACCACCGACCCTTCGATCCCCATTACCGAACGTCG